TGTCCGTGTCTCTGTCTTTCTCTCTGCGGCTGCCTGTATCGCTCTCCCTCCCGTGCTTGCGCCGAATGTGCTTGTGGATCAGGCTTTCGCGAAAAATATCAGCGATATGCGGCCTCCATCATCACACTACACATCTCAGCCAGTTCCAGAGGATGTAAGTTTGCCCAACTTTTTGGTGAAGGTCAAGAGATCAAGGTTTCCCGGGCGACTGCTTTTCTTTTTTGTATTGGGGGATCATGGTTGCACTGAAAGCTTTCCTGAGGGTGTCTTGCAACAATGACAGACAGTTTTCAGCCACAAAAGCTCTGCTGCGAGTATGCTTTTGGCGTGTAACGAATTCGGCCAAATTTTTTTGAAGCCGAGAACCTCCATTGATTGCAAAAAACTGCCCTGGCTCCACCTGTATGCTTTTGGTGTAGCGTTTCATATTCGTGTTTCTTGTTGCAAGATGTTAGCGGTGGGTGTTTACTGTTTAGCTGATCTGTTGGAAACGAGTCCGGCATAACATTTGCACGTTCCCATACACATGCGCAATGACAAGTGGACATGGAGCAATCCACACCAAATGTGATGATGAAACTACACAGTGGAAGCTCAGAATGCCGAAAATAGAATTGAATTCAGATCAATTCTAATTAAGCTGTCTCTCCCCAACTCAGTCAGCAACGCGAAATTCTCACGATCCCAACCACGTTACAACATCCACTACCCAATTATGTACAGAGGTTCATGAAGCATGGGGGGGGGGGACTTCTTCTTTCTCCCTCAACTTCCAGCTCTAGCTATGCTTCCACTTCCACTTCCAGCGCCCAACCTATCAAGCCGACCAATCGCCTCACACCCTCCTGAACCGAACACCCACGTTGCACCAATCCAGATGCCCACTGCCGATGCCATATCCGCTCAGCAGGGGAGTGCAGCTCTCAGGATGGAGAAGGAGAAAACCTCTTGATGAAGAAGAGGATGTCTCCCGTGTTGAAGAACAGTTTGAAGAAGAAAAGAGAGCTTCGAAGGCAGGCCAGTCGAACCCGAAGGCAGGCCGGTTGAACCCCAAATGGCCACACTCGGAGGAAGCACATCGAGCGCTTGGCTGAAGCCTGTGCGACCTGATGACGACAAGCGGGAACAGCCACAGCCATGGACGCCAGTCACAACGCAGCGCAGTGAGAAGCCTGTGGAGATGGCAACTTAGACCAGACACTTTTACACAATCTCCCTCCAGCACCTCGTGAGAGAAAAAGAATGAATGATGCCAGAACCCGTGCAAAATTGCGGACCCGTTCTTTTTGTTCCCAACGACCTCCAGACTCTATCGCCTACTGACCTACGAATTAGGACAGACCCAAGCAAGCAGCCTACGGACTCCCTGTATCTGGTGGACCTAAACAGGCCGAAAAGGGCAAACAAGTAAAACAATGGCCTACACGTCTACAGCAACAAAGAAAAAGTCCCTGTAAGGGACAGGTCCAGGGATCAAGGCCCGAAGAGCTCAAACCCCAGTCAAAGTTTGTGAAATGACTACCTACTGACAAACCACTGTCTAAAACTCGCAATTCACTGCAGCACGAAGTACTAGACAAATTTCCAAATCCGTAGGAGGCGATTATATAAGTCTTAAACCACTAGTACCTTTGCCGCTTCAGAAATGAGGGAAAACACCAGTTCCCCCATAGACTTTGGAGGCCGCCGGCCGGGCCCGCCGACGGCTACCATTCATAAATCTAATCGCCGGCCGTAGCAGTCAATTATATAAGTCTTAAACCACTAGTACCTTTGCCGCTTCAGAAATGAGGGAAAACGCCAGTTCCTGAAGGATTCGGAGGCCGTCGGCCGAGCCGGTTGACGGCTGCCATTGATCAATCTAATCTGCGGCCGTCGTTTCGTTTCGTTTCGGCCTCCTCCTGAAAGGTCGGAGGCTCACTCACTATTTTCCGAAATGACAAAGGTTCTAGTGGTTTAAGAGTTCAAACCTTGTTATCGTGATGGGGGTCATGTTTGCGTAATCCATGTTTACAATTTTACTATATATATATGACGATATATATATATACAGAGTTGCCAGGCCGAACGTACGGAGGCCCCTAAGCTGACCCCCGAACGTTCGGGCGTTCGGGTCCCCGTACGGGGCCCGAACTCGAAGGGGTTCGGACCCCGCAAAAAAATATTTTGGTACCTAAAAATTATTATTTTTTTCTGATTTTTTTTTTGTGAGTTCACTGTTATGTAAGCTACCTGTCTCTCAATTTTGAAGTCATTCTGTGGAGCCAAACAATAATGAAAAATCGGCAAAGATGGTGGTGTCAAAACTTGC